TATAATATACAATATATAATATATAATATACAATATATAAAATATAATATGTGATATGTAATATACAATACATAATATATATATAATATATAATATATAATATATAATATATAATATATTATATATAATATATATTATATAATATATAATACATAATGTGGCCAAAACTTTTATTAATCAATAGCTGATTCAAATAAATACTATTTACAATAATATCAAAAAACTTTAAAGAAAAATAACTTCTAACCCTCTTTTCAGTCACACAACCAATTAAAACTATATGTTTTAAACCTTTCCAACCAACCAAAAAAAAAAACCTACCAGCAACAGTGAACAATAATAACAAGAATACAAGAGGCACATAAAAATCAACATTAAAAGAAAATAACAGGTAAAACTAACAAATTCATACTCATTCATCAAAACTCAAAAACGGACAAAAAAACCAAAACAAAACTAAAAACCAGTATTTTCACTCTCACGTGTCCCTCAAATAAACTTTTCACATCCAAATTTATAACTCTTATAAAAAGATGTAAACTATGCACAAAAGTTACAAATACTCTACAAGAAAACAAAACACGAAATTGAAGAAAAGCACCTCTAAAGTTATATCTTTAGTAACCGCCTCTCTCCTAAATACCAGACGACACAAACAAAATAAAGTAACCAATATCTGCAACTGGATAAAGTAAACACCACCTCCTAAGCCTCTGTGCTCATGAGAATCCTGCTGTCCTCTGAGATTATGAATGAATATCCCAACTTCTATAAATAAGCAACTTTTAAACAAAGCATGACCAACGAGACGTAATAAACTCACGAAATACAAACTGCCTCCCAGAGTCAGCATAGAAAACCCCGTTTGAAACAAAGTACTCGAAGCCACCGCTTTTTTCATATCCTGTCCCACTGGAGCACAAACCGTAGAAAAAATCTAATAAACAAACCAGTAAGAGTAATAACCGTACACAAACAATAATTTATAATCAACCGACAAAATTCATAACCAGGATCGAACCAGCAGTCAAAAAAGTTCTTCTAAGAATTAAAGTCCTAACAGGAGTAGGAGCTCCTGTAGCTTTAGGCAACCAACTCTTTAAAAAAAAGGGCAATCTTTTAGTGAAACTAGCCAACAATAAAAAAATAAAACAACTAACACTGAAAACCAACATAATCTTCAAATACAAAGATGAAAAAATAATCTAAAATAAAAAAATCACCGCCACGATTGGCCAAAACAGTATTTGTAGCACCTCTACAACTGTCGCAACTATTAAAAAAGAACGCCAAAAAAGACTAGAAACACCTAAAATATCTCACCTGAATAAAATAACAAAAACCCTAAATTTGAAATTCAAAAAAAAAAGACACGCCAAAAACAAAAAATATAAAAACTAAAATAAATAACACAAATTAATTTCACCCTCTACGCAGTAAAAAAAAAATAACCACCCTAAAAGTAACGAGAAACAAAACACAACCAAAAAAAGCAGTCGATATAAAAAACTAGACTTTAGACTAAGAAAATATTAACCCACAAAAACTATCGCCTATTCCACCTATTGTATAAACCAGTAGCAGCGCAACCAACAAAAAAAACAAAAAAAGACAAAAATAATCAACAACCAACCAAATCAATTAGCCAAAATACCATTCCATACAAAAACCAACAACAACAAGAAAAAAAAACATTACAGAAAAAACGCTGCAGTGAAGTCTACCTCCTACTACTCTGCAGAACAATAATCTCTCAATATTAATGAAGTAAAGTACAACCTTTGCAACAAATTTTAAACGAGTAAAACATGCTGGATATTTGCAGCTGCCCGCTGCGGTCTTCAGAACCAGCTCCGGACGATTTCGCTATTGTAGAATACATGGGATTTCTGTAGAAATAGTGAGTTTTTTTCAGTTTCACATTCCTTCTCGACTCGTGGCTCTCGATATCAAAAAATCGCCACTTCCAGATTTTAATATGTTGTAGAGCAAAAAATTCTGCACAAAATACAACTTTTTTAAATAAAAGCATCTTTTTTTTCTATGTTTGTTTGAAATTTTATTTTTATTGTACCTTTCTGTATCTTTATCGAAATTAAATTATTCAAGTCAGAGAAATACGCCAGATTAAAAACCGTCAAATCAACGTTGCTTACTTCCTTTGAAAGCATTCCACCACAAAGTTAGCTGGCTCGAGTGTTGTGACCTTGCAATATTGCCTTTCCAGCATCTTGTGGTATAGAACTAGCGCAAACTGAAGACATTTTTTGTCGTCTCCATTCAAAAATGTTTAATATGAAAGCAAAAATTTTTGTAATCGGTTGTAATTTTGAAATAGGGTCTTGCAAACTTGTTTTTTTTTTTTTTTGTTCCACTTTTTTCGTTTTTCTTTATTCCATTTCTTCTACTAGTACAGAAAAGAGCAAAAATGGAATAAAAAAGAACAAGTTTGCAAGACCCCCTTCCGAAATTACAACCGATCACAAAGATTTTTGCTTTCATATTAAACATTTTTGATCGCAGACGACAAAAAATGTCCCCAGTTCGCGCTAATCATATACTACAATACGCTGGGGGCTAATAATGCAAGGTCACAACACCCGAGTCAACTGACTCTGTGGTGGGGTGCTTTCGAAGGAAGTAAACACTGCTGAGTTGACAAAACTATCAATGTCACAGTATTTTCGCGATTTGCTTTGGACCAGTGTTTCTGAAAGTGAGTTTTTGTCCTCTGGAGGTTGCAGGCCACAAGGAAAAGGACAGAAGCCTTCAAAGCATCAAGAGGTCAGCAAAGAATGGGGAAATAGAAATAAAGGCCATGACGACGGTTAAACAATTCAAGAATTTACTCCATTCTCAAATGTTACAGTAACCTGTAAAAATGTTTCAATAAAAGCAGCTAACAAAGTCTCTGTCTTTGGTTGCGAATTATCACAGTAAAAAAAAGTTAAATACACGATTTTCCGTTCATTCCTGACTTAATAAAGTCAAAAGCAAGAGATTGATGTTGACGACTTGGGAAGGATGATGTACTAAAAGACGTTGAAAAAAGGTCCCTCTAAAAAAGGCAATGGACATTTGAAAAACATTGCTTTAAATCAAACACGACCTTTTTTACCGACACAGGTCACCTCAAAACGTTTTTATTTAGGAATAAAAACACTATAATTTTTTGCTGAATAACATGAAGAATATTTATGGACTGTCAAGGCGACCAACTGTCAGTAGAATGCAAGAGATCTGTTAGATATGAACGTACTAATTTAAATGAAAAAACAAGTGGTACAGTCACATCTTCAAAAACACTTCTCACCAAACGACATGTTACAGAAATATAAGTGGAACACGAAACCTGTAAAAGCAGAGTTCTTTCAAACTAGATCTAAATGAATGTCAGTCTGAAATCAACTCTCGTATTATATTCCCAAAATATCTTCAGCTGTTCACATCAACATTATACTTAATGTTGATGAAAACCTACTGGCAAACTTTCTTAACCTGCAGTACAAAACCAAGTTCTCAAAGAAAATCGTTCCTACCCTTTACTACAAATATCTAGCAGACATCATTGTTAATTCATGAACTACCTTATACAACGCTTTACGCAATAACCTGATATAAAAATACAACAAAGAAACAGCCATTCACAAAACGCATTGAAGATACTTTTCACTGCTGCCTCGTCCGCTAAATAGTAGGTTTCCCTAGTTTCATCAAAATGGTTTTTCTAACTATGCAGATCACAATTCTTTAAAACGTTTCTTCACAAGTCACCGATTTTGATTTTGGGCGGAGTTCCACTCTACTAAATCCCTGAAAAATAAAGAGCGGAAGAAATAAACGTAAGTCGAACTAAGCAAGGAAACCGTGATATCTTAAAATAACAGTACGGTATCAAAAGTTCCTACTTAAACTAATTTTCAAGCAAAACATTACTTTATAAAAATAACTAAAAATAAGTGATAATGTCGTCGTTTTTATGAAAAGCGCCATTTGAAATGCCCAAACATATTCTTAATACAGTTATTTTCAAACTGCACGATTGATGACAGTAGTTAATTGAACAAAAGTAGTTAGTAATCTTATTGGGTGATGGCTCAGCGCGCTGACTGCCTGGCTGCCTTTCGGTACTTTTGCTGGGAATGTCGACAGAGATGGGAAAACAAAGCAGCGCAGACCGAGAGCGCATCATGGCTGCATGAAGCGAAACCCCACCGCCAACTTTCTTAAATATGGAATATTTCTGCGTCCATTGCCGACAACTCCATCATAAACCGTGTCTTCTAGAAGGGTTTTAGCTTTGAAAAAATAAGGTTTCATGCAGACATACTTCTGTAGCAGTTTTCATGTATTCAGAACGTTCTTCTCTTGGTAACTTCATATTTACTAGAACACCTTAAGAAAGCGCAATTCATATACTAATCTGACTAATGACCACCAGACATCTTGTCAAGTTACGTACCGTTTTTTGAAACTAATCTGTGTCTTTTGCACAAACCTGCTGCCCCTCCTCCGCCTCCCCTCTCCCACAAACCTTTTGTCTGTTCTATCTGTCCATTCCGTAATCAGTCTATTGCCAGTACAACATATTATACTTCAAAAATGATCTTTTAATAGGAATCAGTGATTGCTTTTGTACAGGTCCACTTACTAGTTCAAGAAACTCCACGACGTGAACGTATGATCCAGACCCCCCTGCACCATGCCAAATCCAAGCGATCAACCCATCGTGATGGTACTTTTCTTCCCAAATAAGTAAAAGAAGTATCAATTTCTGCCTTCAAGTTGAAACCGGCAAATACAAAAACAGTTTAATATCGCAGCTGCTTCCGAAAAACTTTGTCTTTTTAAATGGACTGCTTAATCGCAGTTGCGAAAATCGAAGTTGAGAGCACGCACAATAAATGAAAACCGATTCGATAGGACCTTTACGGCAAACCTCTTACCACACATCCCTAAACTTTTTGGAGAGCTCTATAATTTCTGTGTTCCGCGTATTACTATAAAAACGTTGCCACCAATGCACGATTATTCTCAAAATTAGGTATTCAGACGTTTTTTCATTAAAAATTTGTGATGCCACTATTTGCAATCACCTTCTAGTACTGTACCGTTCTTCTCACTGACTTCTCTGTCTTCCCAACTCTATTTAAACGTGATGGCAACGAGTCACCGTTGTTTATGAGCCCCAACTGTCAAGCTATCTGTTGCACCAGTGCAACAGTTCTTGTCATGAGAACAGGCGCAGAGCTGCACTTGTCAGTCACGTGCAGCTAAAAACGGAACGGTCGGGCCATACAAAGCTTAAGACGCCGGCCATCTGGGTAAGATTCAATAGATCTTCAAAAGAATAGGTTCAGCGAAAAAAATCTGTGAAATGCAGGCGCCAAAGAACTTTTTAATAAGGAAGTGCTACGCATGCTTGATCTGCATTTTTGATAAATACTCTCGTTGGTAAGGTGCGGTGCTATTTGCCTGATTTCCTAGTTTCTCTGTAAATCCTTCTAAAAATCTTGAAGTATTCTTTATTAGTTTTGGGTTTTCAGATTATTTTGTTGTTTTTTGATTTTCTCTTTTCCCTTTTCTCCTGCGCCAATCCCAGTGTTTTATCGTGTGTCTTTTTTGTTTCTCTTGTCTCTTGTCTCTTTGTAAGTTCTGCCCTAAACCCGGTCAAGTAAAATTTCTCTCTTTAACAAAAACTCAATAAAGCAAGAGCTCCCAGCACTAGAATATTGCACAGAGAGGTCCTTCAGGTCAAGTTAGTAGTAAAGAAAACAATTTTAGTTGCAATACTATCAATTCTACCTCAGTGCGGTGGTCATGGACACAGAGAAGTTATAAAATCTTTAATCGGAGCCTGACATAATTAATACGGCTATTCGATTGCTGCAACTTGCAGTGACAGCACTGGTGCTCTCCTAACAATGGAGCCGCCACTCTGTAAGAGCCTTAACGCTGAACGCTTGAACTTTACAACTTACTCATTTCCAAGATCAAGCTTCCTTTCATATTCTTCACAGCTACGAAGGAAATTTTTCACGGTGAAAAATCGTCTTGAAGCTTCTTCCATGGACTGAATAGCACTTAAAAAATAAGATTTACATTTTTCAAGAGCAATATAACTATGAGCTTTTGCAAAATATGCTACGTGACTTTGATTTTATTCGATAGCTTGAACAAAGGTAGGTTGTGAAACAATTACTTACCGAATAATATTATCAAGATCATAGCAAGCACCCTGTAATGCTGTATTCACTTCTAAAACTGTATATTTTCTGTTGTTTAATACAGGTAAAGACTTCCCAATATGTTCCTAAACAACCGGTTGTTAAGATCAAAGTTTTACATCTAAGAAGACAATAGTCAAAACGGCAGCCAGCCGATCAAGCAGATTTTGATACATATATAACAGTAAAGTTCCTCTCAAAAGCCAGATAAACTAGTAAACGTCGTTTTTCGCTAAATGAAATAACTGTTCTAAATTTAATTAAGAGTACGCTGTTCTTTGAAGTAAACAGAACAAGAATCAATTTTTTTCTGCGTATAAGAAAGACCACCAAACTTTTTCTCCACAGGAAAATTTCTAGGCCATCGAATGCGGGCAGTCATAAGTTCCTATCGCTTAAAACAAAATATTAAATTCAACCTCACGCTTGCATAATCTACCGGAAAATAGCACGGTGATAAGGCGAGATCCAGCAGACCAAAAAAAGTCTTATTCCAAAAATGACTTTTTTTTGACACGTTATACAAGCATCTTCATTTCCAAATAAACCCCCACAATTCGCAATGCGGAAAGTGCTGGAGTTAGATAGATTCCAACACTTCGTTGCCGTGCATATGACTTCATTGAATAAAGATAACTTTCAAGAAGCTGGAATTTTTGTCCAAGCCGATTTTGCATATTCTTTTGCATTTTGTGCAGCAAATAAGATTTCTGTACTTAGTTTTTCTAATGCAAGTGAAACGGTTTGTTGAAAAAGGATAAGGCAATTTGTGAACCATCTGTGTTTTTCGCCTAGTACCTAAACCTATTCTAGGAGTTTTTTTGTATATCCTTGCTGTTCACTCCTGAATACTAATGAGACTAATATCGTAAGATAGAGCACTTGTTGAGGTGCTCTTAAGACAGCTCAGGAAGTGCTCTATTTTATACTAGTCTCAATAGCGAGTGAATGGCACTTTCCGGGAGAAACTACGGGTTGGAAGCACTAACCTGAGGCTTTTTTCAAAGACTAAGCTTGGTTCTTGCCTATTTTTCTATCCCACTTATTTCTTTCTTAGTTTCATACGTTTAGCTGAGTTAGTGCGAAAGATGCAGTATCCAATACTATCCATAATTTTGGATACGAAGTTAATTTCACGTGAAATTATCAAGTAAATATTAGTGATATAATCTTTTTTATTATTATTTTCACCAAGTTCCATAATTAGTTCCAATGGATATTGGTAGGTATCATCAGGCTGGCATTGAATATAATTGTGAAATTGACTCGAAAATGAAAACGAGTATACCTAGGAGGGCTCATTTTCAGAGAAATTTTCTGCAACTGGCAAATGAAAAGCGCCAGTTTTCTTCAGTAACTGTCAAGAAGAGTGCTGGTCTGATTTGAATTTAACGCGTTTTTGCCTAGCTTGTTCTAGAAAATTTGCGTTTCTTTAGCACCATTCTGTTCACCATATTTGTGGCTACATAACGGCTGCTAAATTTTACTGAGTTCTGATGGACTAGAGACTCACGATGTACTTTAAAAAGATAAATTTGTTTAAGAAATACCTGAAGCCGGTAAAGTGCTAAAGAAGGATCGTGGTCCACGATATGTATACTTTCTGAGAGCCGCTCTGCAACTGAAAACCAACCGTTAAACCAAGTCGGAAAAGCGGCTTTTTATGACCTAAAATTCTTAAACAAAACGCTTGATGCATAACGTTCCGAAAGTTTGTCTATATGAACTTTAGATTGTGTAGCACTCTTACCAGAAAAGTCTAAGGAACTGTCTTCTTCTCTAAAATTTGGGAGTGCAATCTGATAAATGTGATAATACAGGTCCATTTCTGTGACATATGTTATTATATAACTAATTATGTAAGCGAACTTAAAAGCAATCATAAATTTGCAAAAACAAAAAAAAAGCATTACCAAGCTCTTAAAAATCCTAATGGATCTTAACTCATACTGCAGATGTATACCTTAAAAAATCTTAAAATTACTACTGTTGACTACGCCATCTCCGCCTGAATTTGGTTTCTTTATCGATAATTTGCTCTCATTTTTTGTGTTTCAGGTTTCCTGCT